TTCTCAAATAGTTTTTGACCGAGACATTCCGTCTTTGCCTCCTCGCGAGGTCTTAATTCAGTACAGGATGCGTGCCTTGAGAGAGTTAATACAGCAAGTGAGCCATGGAATCGAAAACGATTGCATTTCTTTCCGATCGGTGAGATTGGCGAGTATTTTTCAGGATGGCGGACAAGGGCTGGGCGTTCTTCGTATGACATTGGCGATAGTACAAGAACCTGCTGAACAGGAATTCACTACTGCAACTACACCTCTCCTTTATTATGGTGGGAGAGGGAGATTTCGTGTAGAGACACAAGCAGAAGCGTTATGCCTGTTTGCGTGATGCTTTTTCGCGTGGTACCTTTTAGTGAGTGTAATACCTTTCACGTGATACCTTTTGCGTGATGCCTTTCTGCGTGATGCCTTTTCGCGTGATGCCTTTAAGTGTGATGCCTTTTCGCATGATGCCTTTTAGCGTGATGCCTTTTAGCGTAATGCCTTTTTGTATGGTGCCTGTAGGCGTGATGCCTTTAAGCGTGATGCCTTTTCGAGTGATGCCTTTCAACGTGATGCCTTATAGCGTGATGCCTTTTCCCGTGATGCCCTTCAGCGTGATGCCTTTAAGCGTGATGCCTTTTAGCGTGATGCCTTTTAGCGCGATGCCTATTTGCGTAATGACCATTTGTAGAATCAGCTAGTTGCCATTCAGCTTTTGACTGATGCATGTACAATTTGGGTAATTTGATATCAATTACTGAGTACTGAATTTTGTCATAGATATACCTCCATAGTTAGCTCATCATTCAGTGTGAAATTCACCGGCTTGCTCATAGAGCACTTTGATTCACTTTGACTGTACTCCCTCGTTCCCAGCCTCCAAGGGAGTGTTGTTGTTGGTCGCCTAGCAGAAAATGCGAAACGCGGGCTTTCGATTTTGTTGTTAAACAACAGTTTTCGAGAACATTTAGTCGAAATGTGAACATGATTAGCTCTCCTTCATTCCAATCCACAATGACACAAGAACGCACGATCCCTGGATGCCCTTGGGCATTCGCTGACGACATGAGAGGAATCATCGACAAGAAGGAATTCAGGTTTGGAACGTTTGATCGTAAATTAACAGGATCGCTGTGCAAACACTTTTAAGCCTAACCTTAAGCTTGAATTTTGCTGCCTTCTCGTGAGGTGCTTCTCTTTGTTTACTCTTATTTTAACAAAACGTTTTGAGCGTTGTTGATACTGGCTCGCTCACATGGAATCCTTTCAATTTTGTGACAGTCTTCGGAGTCCATGAAGGAAAGCTATATTCGTTAATAAATTGATTCTCTAATTTAACAGGGGCTATGTCACGCATTATTTTATTTTTCTTTATTTATCTATGAGTTCCAAACTCTGTTTTATAATAATATGAAATCGTTATAGTTGCCTTGTTTTTCCTATTATATGAGAGCACTCAAGAACTAGAGGAAGGGAGGAAAATGCTCCCTCAATCTGTACTTATCCACACTTCTGCTATGCTCTCAACATTTCCTTGTGGTGGTGTGGTTACAGGGCTGACAGAGCCCTTCAAACATGAGGGGGACATTGGGGTTTGTAGTGTTGGACAATTTTTCTGGCAGTATTTTGGTAATTTTAATCTCAAATTGTGGTATTGTGGTATTCAAACAAACCTGCGGGATGCAGTTTTTTACTCCAAGTCCTCCAAGTCCTCCATTGTCTTCTGAACCTTTTCTAGTTTCCAATCAGAAATGTGTAATTTATTGTTTGTTAATTATTAGCCAACACGCCAATGGATGTTACTTCTTTGTTTATTTTGTCTAAATCTAAAATAACCTAAGTTGATGTTCATTAACAAATTCCTAATTGTTATTTCCGTGTTATTAATTCTTTCAACTTGACATACAGAGTTACGTAGTGGTTTTAGTATGACATTGAGTTTCAATTTGGTATTAAAGAATTGCGATATTGCAGTATTTGCCCCCCTCAGACATGGTTAACAGTGCTCTAGTCACAGCTGCTCTGGTCCCTTAGCTAGTTCTTAATTTCCTGGAGTTATTATATTAACTGAAAATTATGCTTTGCATTAGTTCAAAAGATCAGGCTTAAGTCTCCTTTTATTTCAAGTGGTTGCAGACCTATAAATTTGCAACAATTCGTACAAAATACAATGCATTATAAGAGCAAAGACAAAACGTCTGGATCAAGTGCTGGAGAGGGTTTTGATAACTTGTGTGTCATAAACCAGAACAGAATAATGAGAACAGCAAATCATAAAAAACTCATGCATTACCAGTGAGATTTTGGTTTATACTTCTGATCAAGGTGGGCTTATTGTATACATCTGGTTAGGATTTGTCGGGTGTTTAAAGCCAATCACAGGCCATGGTGAAATAAAGCAAAGACAGTTCTGCATCACTATTGGTTTTGATAGTTGTTACTCTGGTTGCTACCATTGAAAATGTGGATCATGTGTACTAAAGGCATCTGTGGTCAAGTGTTTGTCGATACCCTTGATCAACCCGCGATGGACACTCAACCGACATGTCGATCGACATCTCAATCGATAGTCAGTCAACACTAGACTGATGCTCGCTCAACATCTTGATTGACGCCTCATCAACACTTGAACGACTGTCGGTCGATAGTTGGTAGTCAGTGTTGACCGACTCATGTATCGATGGACACTCAAATGCGTGTCTGCAAAAATTAGTGGAGTGTTGACTGACTTAACCAAGATGTTGATTGAGTGTCGACAAAGTATCAATGGAGATGCTGAATGAGTGTTGATTGAGATGTCGAGTGAGTGTTGATTGAGGGTTGATCAAGGGTATCGATTGACACCCAGCCGGCCAGGATGCTTATAGTACACATGATCTGAAAATGTTGACTGAGAAAAATATAACTAAGTTTTGTTCCTTGCTATAGCGATGTCAAGTTCATTGTGGGGCGCAATAGAAAAGTGATCCGTGCTAACAAAGCAATTCTTATGGCAAGGTAAGACTGATTATTTCAATTTAGTTAATCTAATTATAATATTAAATAATAAGTAATAAGGTTCCATTGTTGAAACCGTACACAAGTACAGTACTGTGTAGTCTTGCTAACACTTGTAAAATCCCTAGCAGTCTAATATACTATATGTAAATAATTATTATAGGTGTGAAGTTTTCCAGGCAATGCTGTCAGATCAGAAAGACAATGTCCGACCAAAGGGTGATCAACAGGATATACCACTAGTCCTAGCAGATGTTACACCAGAAATCTTTATGTCAATGTTGGAATTTCTTTACACCAATACATGCACTCTAAACAGCAAGAATGTAAGTGGAAAATAATGTTCTTTTTAAAGTTTTGTAATTACTGCTTGAGCATACATGTACATCTTAACTGATCTCTGCTCGATGACAATGCAAAATCCCTGGTGTTCATTGAACCTTTTAGGGCTGGGTTAAAAAGCAGTTTTGGCCCTTCTTAGGGTGTGTGGCCTCATGAGGTCCACAGCAAGAGCATTCCAGTACCTTTTAGGGTAAATGAGCTTGAAAAAAATGACAGGAGATATTTAATTTAAATTTGATAATACCACAGTATGCCAACAAAAAAATAATGCTAAATAAATAGGCACCAATGCTACGCCAATGCCATGCCAAAGCCACGCCAACGCCACGCCAATGGCTTGCCAACTGCTGAGCAACATGCTCCTCATCATTAAATAAGTATGTTTAACCTCATAGTGCAAACTTTATCAGGTGCAAAACTTCCACAGGTCGTTAGAGATGTATTTTGTATCAACAAGCTACTGCACTGCTCCCCTAGGATCCAAAGCTTTTCCCTGAGGGGTATTCCCACAGAATTTGTCAGGTTGCTGTAAGTTGTACACA